ATTGGGAATGATCAATTAGGGATTGATCACCGTGTCACAAAAAAGAGGAAGGGGGAAGGGAAATTGTTTGGGGTCGAGTGACAGAAGGAAAAGAGGGGAATTGATTTGGGGTCAGGTAAAAAAGAAGGAAAGGGGAAGAGGCGACTGTTGTGCAGCCGAGTGTAGAGGGGGGGGGGGGTAAGAGTTGGACGGCAGAGAGAGGGGAAGAAAGAGGAAGGGAATTGATATTAGGTTTTAGGTTTTAATCTTTGTTTAATCCCTTAATTCCACGTACAAGTAGTTTATATAAAAATGGCTAATTCCCTACTGCTACCCGATTATTCCCCCAATTCCTGAATAGTCCAACAATGCGAATAAAAATAATAAAACGACAATAAAGTACTAAAATGCAAGTTCTCATCATCCCCAAGGTTGTTCCTCCCGCTCACTGATTCTCCTCTTCGCCATTTTCGACGTCCTCATCGGCATCCTCGGCTTCGTCTTCCCAGCGTCCGACGAGCATCATCGGGTCCGGCTTCGGGCATTGATGGCCAATGGTGAATCGACCATCGCAGTTGAAGTACTTACCCTCCCGTCTCTTTTGTTTGATCTCAGCCGGCGATAGTCGCACAAACCCTTTTGGTATGGCCCGTGGCCCCACTCTGGCCACTGGTGCCGCATTCCCACTCCCGGTATTAGCTCCGGAGGCATTGCCCGCCGCGGCTCCACCCCCGCTGCCGCCAGACTGGCAAGTTCTTCATCCTTGTGACCTGCAAGACGAAAAACAGCCTTCAGATAATCCGGCTCGAACACAACCCCACCAGTGTCTCCTCGGACACTCCCGTGAACTGGTTACCCATAATTAGATTCAGAAGGCTTGAAAAAATAGCCAATAATTTATTGAATAAATTCTATAAATCCCGACGATGCTGGTACTGCTGCTCGCCTCCCCTGCTTCTTCTCATGAACCACTTCTGCTAGACTATCCTCAACCTGGTGAGTGACAAGGGGCCAGTCTCGTCGTTACTTCTTAAGGTTTTTGCCCTAGCCAAACTCCTTACTAACACATTATTAGGGGAATGCCTTCCTAGCATGAAAGTCGTTCTGGCTTTCTACTCTTAAATAACCATTCATATCAACTCATCTCAACATTAACTCGTAAAAGTTCTCGACCTCTATCCTTATCTCAACACAAAACACTAGGACCACCGCGTTACGTCTCACCGTCCGGTGTCCTACCCTAGTATGCCAACCGCGTTACGTCTCGCCATCCGGTTGCATACCCAAACTCGGCAATGGCACTGTGTTACGTCTCGCCGTCCAGTCCATGCCCGTCAACTACTGCATTACGTCTCGCCGTCCAGAGGCAGGAGTTCGAGGGATAGAGGTGTGCATGCCATGGAGACCAGATCAGTCCTTGAATGGGAAGTGGCAGAGCTGGTTCAGCATTGAAGCAACCTAACAACCTCATACAAGGTAGAGACATGGCGGCGCCTCCGGTAGCACAGTGTCAGTGGTGTGAGAGCTCCAACCATTTAGTGGAGGAATTCCAGGCCATGAGGAATCTACCACCCCAGAGGAGCAGTTGGACTTCATTGCTAATGTTTGGCTCCTCTACCCCTACGATGATACTTAAAATGAGGGGGGTGCCAGCATGCCAATTTCTACCCCTACGAAACTGATCTGCCTGGAGACTGAATTTGCCAAGTTCATGGCAATGTTAAAGCATATCAACATCAGCATACCGTTCGTGGAGGCACTGTCGAAGATGCCCAAGTACGCGAAATTCATGAAGGATCTCCTCACCAATAACAAGAAACTTGGGGATTTGTCAACAGTGATGTTGAGTGAGGAGTGTTTTGCGATCCTATAGAACAAGCTGCCCAAGAAGCGAAAAGAGACATGGATGTAGGAAAGTCCTTGGGGGACCTAGGCGCTAGCATTAATGTCACGAGCTGCAGTTGGAGGAGCAGTTGGCAGCGCTAGAGCATGCCATGTTTGTGGAGGTCGAGAAGTCATTCAAGCCGATCTCTGCATCGACCCATATCACCACCTCTTTGGAGGCGCCACCAGAACTGGAGCTGAAACCCCTTCCTCCTCATTTGGAGTATGCCTTTCTTAGGGAGTGGAACACGCTTCTGGTTATCATCCATTCGACCCTCACTCCCGAAGAGAAGAACAAATTGGTGGCGCTGCTGAAGCAGTATGAGCGAGCTATGGCATGGAAGATCACCAACATCCGGGGGATGAACCCTTCTTTCTGTTCCCACCGGATCTTGTTGGAGGAGGATATGCGACCGGTGAGACATCCCTATGGGAGATTGATACCTAATCTGGAGGTCATGGTCCAAGCAGAGATTATCAAGTTGATGGACGTGAATATCATCTTTGCCATTTCAGATAGTGAGTGGGTCAGGCACACTCAAGTGGTGCCTAAGAAGGGCGGGATGAGTGTAGTCCCAAATGAGAAGAATGAGCTCATACCAATGAGAATGGTGATTGGATATCGCATCTGCATCGACTATCGCTGCCTCAACGATGTCATGAGGAAGGATCATTTTTCTCTGCAATTCATTGACAAGATGCTCAAGAGGTTGGTGGGCCATGAGTTCTACTGCTTCCTAGATGGGATGTCCGGATATTTTCAGATCCCCATAGCACTGGAAGATCGGGAGAAAACCACCTTCACCAGCCCTTTCCACACATTTGCCTACCGTAGAATTCATTTTGGGCTCTGCAACGCCCCCCCCCCCACGTTTCAGCGATGCATGCTCGCAATCTTTGACAACCTGTTCGGATAATTCTGAATTATTTATGGAGGACTTCTCAGCTTATGGAGACTCCTTCTCTCACTGTCTCCAAAACCTGGAACTCGTCCTCAAGAGATGTGAAGAGATGAAACTGGCCTGAGTTGAAAGAAATGCTAGTTTATAGTTTGCGAAAGCATAGATATGGGTCATAAGATCTCCAAGATTGGGATAGAGGTTGAGACAATCAGCAAGCTACCTCCTTCCACTTTTGTGAAGGGGATTCGTAGTTTCCTAGGCCATGCAGTTTTCTATCAGCGGTTCATCTAGGATTTTTTGAAGATTGCCTTGCCATTGAAGAAGCTCCTTGAGAAGGAAGCCCCCTTCCATTTCACTAAAGCGTGCACATGAGCATTCAGGACTTTAAAGGAGAAGCTCACTCATGCTCCTATCATGGTCACTCCCGGTTGGACCTTGCCATTTGAGCTGATGTGTGACGCGAGTGACTTCGAAGTTGGAGCTTTCCTAGGGCAGAGGCAAGATCAGCATTTCCGCCCTATTTCTTATGCATCAAAGATCCTCAATGATACCTAGGAGAAATACACCACCACAGAGAAGGAGGTGCTAGCTATGGTTTTTGCCTTCGACAAATTTCGCCCATATCTGGTTTTGTCTCGTGTAGTAGTCTACCCAGATCACTCAGCCATAAGGTACTTGATGAGCAAGGTCGACGCCAAGCCTCGGATCATACGATGGATCTTGTTGCTGCATGAGTTTGACATCAAAATCCGGGACAAGAAGGAATTCGAAAATGTCGCTGCTGATCATCTTTTACGATTGGATGCCCCTCCGGTGGACAACTTGGTGGAAGAGATCTACGACTCCTTTTCAGATGAGCGGTTGATGATGGTGTTTATGGTGGAGAGTGTCACCCCTTGGTTCTTTGAATTTGCGAACTATTTTGTGGGCCAGCAGTTGCCCAAGGGGATGACAACTTATGCAAAGAGGAAGTACTTCTTCGATATGAAGCACTACTTTTGGGACGATCCACGTCTCTTTAGGATCGGAGCTAATGGAGTCATCCATCATTGTGTCATGGACAATGAGATGGAGGACATTCTCTCTCATTGCCATGAAGGTACTCTAGGCGGGCTTTTATTGGCCCTCGCTCTTCAAGGCTGTTGACACCTTCTCACGCCGATACGACCGATGCCAGAGGTCAGGTAAAATTTCTGCACGACATGAGATGTCCCAGAATCTGTTTATTATTTGTGAGATTTTTTTATGTCTGGGGTATCGATTTCATGGACCCATTTCCTCCATATTTTGATAATTTTTACATCCTAGTTGTTGTTAATTATGTCTTTAGGTGGGCTGAAGCACATGCTTTGCCCACTAATGATGCCAGACCTGTTTGTCAGTTTCTTAACCAACTGTTCTTGTGGTTCGGGACGCCTAGAGCCATCATTAGCGACAGAGGCACCCACTTTTAGGGTCAATTTGATAAGCTCCTCTCTCGCTATGGTGTCACTCACAAGGTATCCGTAGCCTACTACCCCCAAACGAGTGGTCAAGCTGAGCTGACGAATCGGGAGCTAAAGCACATAATTGAGAAAATGGTGGATCAATCCCGGAAGGATTGGTCCACGAAGCTCGATGATACTCAATGGGCATATCAGACTGCCTACAAGACGTAGATTGGTACTTCTCCATATCGGCTCGCCTATAGAAAGGCATGTCACTTTCCTGTCGTGTTAGATCACAAGGCCTCTGGTCCCTTAAGCTGCTAAATTGGATGTGAGTCCTAGAGGTGCTAAATGAAAGATGCATATGTTGTTGCAGGAGGAATGACGTCATCACGCCTACGAGAACACAAAGTTGTACAAGGAGCGGACCAAGCGTCTCCATGACGCTCGATTGAGGGGCCCAAAGGAGTTTTAGGTTGGCGATCGAGTTCTTCTCGATAACTCTTGTCCGAAACTCTTTCCTGAAAAGCTCCACTCCAGATGGTCGGGACCATTTACGTTCACGCAGGTGTTCCCGTATAGCACCATCGAGATCGGCAACCCACAATCTGAGTCGTTTAAAGTCAATGGCCACCGCCTCAAGCTATATCTGGGGGGCGAGGTCGAACGCGCAGATTTGGTGGTTGAACTCGTGACTTGCACGAAACTACACCGCGAATTAATCCCAACAAGAGCCCAAGTTTTTAAACTCTAGTCGGGTGCAGTATAGGCATAAAATGAAAAAGTAAACCCATATCTAATTACAAAATATGAGGTTTGCCCTTAATTAAGCTATAATAAGAGGCATAAAATGAAAAAGTAAACCCATCTCTAATTAAGCCTCTTAGGTTAAGGAGGGTTCTCTCTAAACTAGTATAGGAGGCCTTGAATGCCCAAGGAAACAAAGCTCAAATTGACATGTTTCAAGCTAGGCTTCACAACACCCAAGTGAATATGTAGGCTATTCCATAGCTAGGCAACAGAAAACAAAAAAGAGGAGAGAGAACCGTGAAGATATGACAATCTTCCTTCCTCCTTGCTTGAATCTCCCTTGAGAGGTAAGAATCTTCATTCCTCTAGTTTAGGGCAAGCCCAATCTCCTTCTTCTTTGCTTTCCTCTTTTTGGGAACAATCAAGATCTTCCCCTTTTTCAATGTTTTCTTCCTGCTCTTCCTCCCCCTTCCCATTCATGCCCTTAAGCACGGTTTGGATAGCAAGATGCCATGCAAGATCATAAAAAGGATTCTCTTGCTCCTCCACACTCGTGACTTGGTCTTCAAAGTTGCTCTCGGGAAGGGCGTGAAAGTCATCAATGCAACCCTCTTGTGCATCCTCACCATGGGTGCTCTCCGGGGTGAGTTCGTCTTGCTCCACACGGTTTTCATTTATCTCTCCTTCAACCTCCTCTTTCTTCTCCAATGATGAGAGGCGATAGCTTGCACAAGCTCGTGCCACCTTCTCTTCAAGTGTCAAATCGGGTGGAGCGAGGGGTTGTAAATCCATGTCGGAGCTCATTCTTCCAAAGTTCTCATGGCTTGCCTCTTCGACCTCCCTTCCTTCTTCCAATGGTAGGAGTCGATTGTGAGCAAGTTGTGCACATGATTGCTCAACAAAACCTTTTAGCCTCTCCGTGTGTCGAAGGAGCTCCTCCGATTCTGAAAGAAAGATTGAGTCGAGATGGTTGGCAATTGGGAGGTCCTTGCTAGAGCACCCTTCATCGGTGCCCCGGGCGAATCGCTCCACCATGAGCTCTAATTTTCTCTTTGGCTCCAGTTGTGGAGTGGCACATGGTCTTAAGGTTTGTCCCATGAAAGCCTCCATGGCCAACTCCAACTTGGATTTCACTTCGAGTTGTGGAGGGAAACCTTCTTGATATGGAGAATCTTCCTGGTATCCCCATGAGCATGGTTCCTCTTCTTGGAAGGGAGGTTGGTAGTAGAATCCGGATCCTTGACTTCCCCTTTCTTGATTGTCCCATGAAGTTTGGGGGAAACCACTCTTAGGTGTTGGTGGAGACCCCCACAATTGGGAGAAATCATAAGGATCCATGATCCAATACCTACAAACACAAAAACACTAAAAAGGACAATCAAACACACACAAACCAACCTCAAGACGAAGACTGTAAACAAAACACACACGAAACACAAAACACAAAACACAAACAAAAAGGCAAGATAGAAAATGCTAGAGTAAAACTAAGCCACCTTTTCAAATAATGGACCGTGATTCCCCAACAACGGAACTACACGGCGAATTAATCCCGACTAGAGCCCAAGTTTTTAAACTCCAGTTGGGTGCAGTATAGGGCAAGTATTTGATCGTCAAACCTGAGCCGATCCATGTACCACTACTTCAATCGCTTAGGTTTTTATCTAGCAAAACAGTTTTGGGTTTAAAACTAAGAAAAATACAAATAAAACAAGCAAATAAAGTAAATCGAGGTTGTCCCAATAAGAAAAGTGTTCACCCGGGTGTTGCTCCCTCTAGCTAATAATAACAACTTGATGAATCGAACGACCGTGTGTGGTTAGGGGGTTATAAAGGGCAGGGAAGTCTAACAAGTAGCCAAGGCTACCCTCTTAGTCACTAGGTTGAAGAAACGTGATATGATCCAAACCGCTAATGCGACCCTCTCAACCTATCGACTAAGGAATGGTTAGACTTCACCCTCGAATTGGAGTTCAGACGACCACCCACAACCAAACCCTAAGTGCTAATACAAGATAGGAGGTTTTCCCTTAATTAACCTAGAATTGGAGGCATGAAATGCCCAAGGAAACCCATCTCTAATAGAGCCTCTTAGGTTAAGGAGGGTTCTCTCTAAACTAGTCTAGGAGGCCTTGAATGGCCAAGGAAACCCAGCTCCAATTGAGCCTCTTTAGATAAAGGAGGTTTCCTCTCTAAACTATCCTAGGAGGCATGCAATGCCCAAGAACACCCAATCTCCTTCTTCCTCCTTTGAATGCATTTTCTCTCTCTAGAATAGGAAGAGGAAACCCTAATATCTCACTAGAAACCCTCTTTTATTCTCAAAACTAAAAACCTAGAAAAAGCTCTCCCTTCTCCTTCAACCCCCTTCTCCTTTTATAACCAGACTGGGCTCTCTTCAAGGTCTTAGGCTTCAGTTCATGGCTGCATTGATCAGTTCAAGGTCTTAGACCTCAGTTCACGGCTGTATTGATCAGTTCACGGTCTTAGACATCAGTTCACGGTCATGAACATCAAAACGCGTCCTTGAACTCAGTGAACTGAACCAAAACGCACCGCTTCACTTCTTGGGTTCACGGTTTGTGGTTTCAGTTCACGGTCTTAGCGACCGTAAACAGCCTTGGCGTCAGTAAACTCAGAAACCCCTCAGGACGCTTCTTGGTTCACAGTTTGTGGTTCCAGTACACGGTCCTGGCGACCTTGAACTCGAATGCTGGACCGTGAACACAGGTTGAATCCTTCTCTTTGCCCGATCTTTGCTCCTTTTCTTCCAGCTTTCGAATCTGGGATTGGTTTCACTTGTTAGACTCTAAAACTGACACGCTTCTACCGTCACACTAGAAAGTGGCCAAGTGTAACCACCTACTAATGCGTAGTATAGCGGGTTTAGTTCTAATTGTCAACCCGGGTCCTAGGCATGTTGACTACTCTGTGAAAGTCTTGTTATCTAGCTGTTCAAGTATAGTGAAGGTTCAATTGAACTAGCAAGCTGTTCAAGTTGAGAGAGGTAACCCGGATATGGTTCCCCCTGGACTGTAGTTAAGCCAGGTTGTAATTTACCAAGTTCAAGTTCAATGATAGTTATAAAGCGCGAGGTTCTTAAACAATATGCATTCTCGACTAAAGGTCTCCAGACCCTCTCAATCCGAGTCCCTAGCGGGCGACTAACCTCCACCGGAGTAAACAGATTGAGACCCTAACAAACCAAACCTCCTCTACTGAAGTAAATCCGGTACAGTATAAAGAATTGACTCCTCGACTAAAGTCGTCAATTCACTACCTTCAATCAAGGGTGCTCTATCAACCTAGGCAGATATTCTCTTTCTAGGTCAAAGCAGAAATAACAGGAATTTGATCAGGATTCATACCATTCAAGAAATCAAACCTCAATTCAATATAATCATATCACTGAATTCGTACTTGGGTTCATGCAATCAGTTCTAACATACAAATCTAGGGTTCTTCATATCCAGGTGAATGAGAAAGTTACTCCATAGAGAGAGACGTGAAATCTAGCTCAGATGCGGAAACCATACTGTGAAGGATGGGATTCTGCTTCTGGCAATCAATCAACACTTCTCCAAGCTCAACCCGGACTCCAATGGTGATGAAGATCGATCTAAGGCGCTTGAAGAATCAGGTTCGTCATTTTCTCTCTCTAGGTATACTCTTTTCTCTCTAAAACTCGGAACTCTTCAAAAACCAGCCTTCTTTCCCTTAAGAACCAGCAGGCCGCGATCCCCGGTCGGGTATTTCAGGTGCCCGATCGAGAATTTTGAAACGCAGCGCAGCGGTGAAGGGCTTAATACCCGATCGGGTATTTTTGCTCTCTGGCCGGGACCCCTTCTGCCTTCTTGGCGTCCAAAAGCACGAATCCCCGTCCTCCTTAGCATTTTACCCGGCAGGGTATTTTAACTCCTGGCCGGGTATTTTGCTCTTCCAGCACCCTTCACTCCCATGTCCTCCTTTTTTACCCGAAACTCGTTTCCTCGCCTTCACGTCAACGCCAAGTCCTGAAATATGACATAAACACACAACCTAGTGTGAAATCGGCTTTAAACACGAGAATCGACTCTCAAATCGGCTCTATCAAATTTCCCCACACTTAACCGTTTGCTTGTCCCCAAGCAAACCTAACTCAAACCAATGCAATTCTCCATAACTCTATAGCAACAAACAACCTCCATCGTCGGTAGAGGATTTACTAGATAATATAGCAGCTTACGAAGTGAACTGGTCTTCTACGACGTCCCCTATCTCTCTCAATGCGAGTACTAGACTCAAGCCAGGATCATGAGAAGAAGTGGAAGTAATACAGCCAGTTCATGGGTAAAAGGACTCACACCATTCATAACCAAGGACTCATTGTATCGGGGTGCTCTTTCACTTCATTTCACCGTTGGAACCCCTTTTTTCACTTTCATTTTACATTTCTCTTTTTTTCTTCTTTTTTCCTTCACTTGGCGGGGGTTCCAACTGCAGTCTTTTGTACGGTCGACCCTTATTAGTCGAGCAAGAGCAATTTCTGTACATCTGGCACTCACCAGAGTACTTCTTTTAACTCCTTTTCCTCAACTCATGTGGAGGGTCAATGAAATTAAGGGGGGTCGGAAGCTCTATCCGTGCCCTTAAAAACACATCCTGGAGTAGGCAAACCGTTCAACGGGTGAAAATTGTACTTGTACTAGAGACAGCTTAGCTTCACCTTGTAGGAGTACCCCACTAAGGATCACTAAAATCTTTTCCAAAACTCAATTTTGTGCAATGAACGGTGCCACACACGTTGGCTTACCCCATGTTTAAGATTTCAACGATTTCGACATGGAGGACCAACTGCTGTTCATTTCCCACATGAGCACCCTGTTCGATACACGAGTCCACAAAACAATTCAAAAGGAGTCACCATTACCACATGAATTCAACGGTCTTAACTCCACTAATTTACAAAATCAACCGGCACAACAGAGAGCTAGATAGGAAAAATCTTATTCTTCAACATCCTCCATAGTGCTACACTACCTCCCTAGGTTGCACATTACAATAGAGACTAGGGTTGTCAACCGGTCGGTTTCGGTTTAACCAAGACCTGACCAGCGCCTACCGCCCACCGACCGACCCTGCACCTCGGTTATCCGTGAAACCGACCGGGCGGTTTTGGTTAATGCACGATTAAACCGGCGCCACCGACTGCCAAGACTGAAAACGGCCGAAGACCGCCAAAAAACCGACCGAAGACAGACCCAAACCGACTGCCAAGACCGAAAACCGATCTTTAACCGGTCAAAACCGACCGGACAGCAAGGGGAAAAAACCTAAAATCGCCTAAAATTAAAATCTCAAACCTACATTTCAATTCCTTTCGCATCGAAAATACATCTAAATTAGCAACTTAATGTCTCACATTCATTAATTCAACAACATAAACTACACAAAATCACAATAAATCCTCTAGATAACAACAAATCAACAACACATCATAATCTATCATCACTTATCACCAGCCTTAGAAGAACCAACATCTGCATAACCTTGTTCTTTCAATACGGGCAACAAGTCATGACCATAATCATCATATCCATCTTTCTCATACTCTTCCTCCGGTGCATCTTCTTCACCCTCCTGCTCATTCTCCACTAGAATGTTGAGGCTTGCATCCGCATTGCCAACATTGCCAGTATTCGTTGCACTTTCCATTCTAGTTTGGAAAGTGACATTAACTGAGTAAGGAAAAAAAAAGGAAAACAAAGTGTTAGTACATTCATATATTGAATTAGGTGAAAAGAAGACAAAAAACTGAACAATAAGAGAGTTTAAGAACTCACTACTTTCCAAAGTCAAATTCTCTTCATCATCTTCCTTGTCGTCAATCTCCCTGGATCCGGGATACCTTATCCAATCCTCAGCACAAATCAATGCCTCCACCATTAGGTCGATCAAAGAGGACCTGAATGGACTGAGAATCCGCCCGCCACAACTGAATGTTGCCTCTGAGGCAACAGAAGAGATAGGAACAGCTAGGACATCCTTAGCCATCTCAGCAACAATCGGATATATTCCAGAGTGTCGAGACCACCATTCCAATATGTCAAACTTTGCATCATCACTCTCTTCATTGATGCCATCAGTTTGACATTTCAAATAGATGTCAAGCTCAGCAGAGCTACCTCCTGTTTCCAGCAGAAGTGCTTCCCTTTTTCTCTTTCTAAGCCTCTCCTCCAATATCTTAATCCGATCACCGGCACCATCAACGGAACTATCATCAGCAATGTTATCATCAGTGGTAGGATGAGATGCTAACTCTGATCCATACTTCCTCTTATAAATCTCAAACATCTGGTGCATCTCCCTTTTAATAATAGCCTGAATTTCCCATCCTTTGGTATTTCCATAAATCATTACCAACACTTCAGACACAAGATCAATCTTACTTCTAGGATCAAGCACTGATAACGATGTAAATGCACATGTTTGCGCCCTAGTTCTTATCCGTTTGAGGGGCATAGTCGTGTGTTTTGGCCTATTTTACGCCGGGTTGTGCTATTTTGTCATGTTTCAGGTCCCAGGCGTCAAAGGGAAGGCTAACCACGAGTTTCGGGGCATTCGGAAGTCATTTCGGTGAGCTGGAGCCAAAACACGGGCAGACCCAAGGCATTACACGGCCGTGTACTGCTGGCTGTGCTTTTTATGCCGAGAGCAAATTTGGTTTGGCCAATTCAGTTGCAAACACGGGCACTGAAGCACGGTTGTGTTCAGTCAAAGCACGGCCGTGTCCATCGCGAAGCACGACCGTGTTTCCACCAGCTGCTGGCCGTGTAATTAAGCCCTGGCCGAGGCACGGGCGGAGTCAGGCAAAGCACGGCCGTGCCCTCGACCGTGCTTTGGCCACTGATGCTTTTAAGCAGATTTTCAGCCACAATTCAAGAGGATTCGAGTTTTTGAGAAAGAGAGCGATTCCTAGAGAGAGAAAGTGACGAGCAAGAGTTCCCAAGTGCCCTAGATTGATCTTCAACACCATTGGAGGCCAGCTTGAGCTTGGAGAAGTGTCGATCAACGTCCAGAAGCAGGAATCCATCCTTCGCAGTATGAATTCCGTGTCTGATTCTACTTTTGCTTTCTTCTCTATGGAGTAGTTCTCCCATTCATCTGGGTATGGAGAACCCTAGATTTGTATGTTAGGCTTTGATTGTATGAACCCAAGTACTGATTCTGTGATTGATTATATTCGATTGAGGTTTTAATGATTGAATGACTTGAATCCTGATCAAATTCCTGTTGTTTCTGCTTTAACCTAGAATGAGAATATCTGACTAGGTTAATAGAGTATCCTTGATTGAAGGTAGGGAGTTGGTGACTTTAGTCGAGGAGCCAACTCACTATTCTGTACCGGATTTACTCCGGTAGTGGAGGTTTTGTTCTTAGGGCCTCAATCTGTCGACTCCGGTGGAGGTTATTCGCCCGCTAGAGAGTCAGATTGAGAGGGTCTGAAGACCTTTAGTCGAGACTTCAGGCTGTTTAAGAACCTTCCGTAGTATAACTGTCATAGAAACTGAACTTGGTAATTACAATCCGGCTTAACTGCAGTCTAGGGGGAACCATATCCGGGTGACCTCTTTAACCCGAATACAACCGTTTACTTGCTTTGTTAGTTTG